GCATTTAGAGTCTGAGCTATATTGGAAGGCTACAATTGCACCTACCATAATTTATTGTGACAACCAAAGTGCAATTAAATTTACAGGTAATGACTCTTATTGTGCCCGCAGCAAACACATCGATATAAGGTATCATTTTGTTCGAGAAAGGGCTGCTGAAAAGGACATCGAGCTCCGCTATGTTGGCACTCAGGATATGGTCGCCGACGTGCTAACAAAACCAATTTCTCAGAAGAAAACTGAAGACTGTTCAGCTGCTATGGGTTTGCAATTAAGAAGAGGATGTTGTGATTATTTACTAATTACAAACCACAGATAACATAATGTAATGTGACGTTTTTGTATTAACTGTCAGTGTCACTCCGTTCACTTGTGTTGTCATGTTTTCTCTCTTGTACTTCCGCCCTGTTCCGTGAATATAGTTTTATCGCTCAGTCGTGCATTTTTATTTTAATAAAGTTTAGTTCTGGAATTACCTCTAATTATTCTATTGAACATTAGGTTATGGGCCCAGTATGTCCATTAGGATACAGTAAAAGTAATTCGACACTACAGTACCGCGATTCAATCAGATTCGTATTAGCTGTTGGCAATCTCAACGGCCATTACCGCGTCCCGGCCACACCGACGTTCTTTTTCAGCATTTCAGATTTAATTACATGATGGCATCTTCTCAAATATCAATCGGCACCATTGAAAAATTGGTTGGCCGTGAAAACTATCAAAGTTGGAAATTCGCTGTTAAAAATTATCTGGAGCATGAAGAACTATGGCAGGAGATTGAACCCTACGAACCAGGATATGTATCGGACAGCAAAAAAAACACGAAAGCGAAGTCTAAATCATTCTACTAATTGATCCTCTGAACTATGTCCACGTTCAAGACTCGACGAGCGCCAAACAGGTTTGGACAAAATTGGAATCCGTATTTGATGACTCCGGGCTCAGCAGAAAGGTAGGCCTGTTAAAAGATCTTGTAACCACTAATCTAGAAAATTGCTCGAGCGTCGAAGAATATGTCAATAAGGTAATATCGACAGCTCACAAGCTTCGAAATATCAATTTTATAGTAGGAGACGAGTGGCTTGGTACACTGCTGCTCGCTGGCCTCCCTGATTACTACAAACCGATGATAATGGCTTTAGAGAGCTCTGGTGTGAATATTACTGCTGACTATGTAAAAACTAAGTTATTGCAAGAGGTTAAGGTATCAGATTCTGCTGCTTTCTATGCTAAGTCATATAATAAAAATATGCATAAGTTACTGCCTAATCATAATCCACATAACCAATCGCATGTTAAAAAGCATGGCAAAGGCCACGGTGCTTTGTATGTAACAAGCATGGGCACATGAGTAAAGAATGCTATTTCAAAGACAAAAAGAAAAGCTCCGCTTACCATGATAATTGTAAAATAACAGCTATTTTGCCGCTTTTCCAGTTGCTGCAGAGTTGGATGGAAACTCCTGGTACATTGATTCCGGTGCATCATTACATATGTGCAACAATAGGGATCGGATGTATGATGTTAATCCAACTACAATCAACAACATCAAAGTTGCTGACAATAAAACAGCACCAGTAAAAGGTAGTGGCAAGGTGGATTTACAAGTAATTGACTCAGATGGCATAATACGGACAATACAGGTTAGAGATGTTCTATTTGTACCCACACTAACAGTAAATTTACTTTCTGTAAGTCGAATGGTAAACAATGGCTGTGAAGTAAAATTTGAGAGAAATGGTTGTAGAATTTATCAGAATAATAAATTAATATTGACAGCTCTGCATCGCAATAACATGTATGTATTAAACAATGTTTCTGAAGCACCGGCATTGCTATCGACAGTAAATGAGAAAGATATAAATCTATGGCATCAGAGGATGGGCCATCTCAATTTCACAGACTTACAGAAAATAACAGATAGTGCAGAAGGGGTAGAATTATTAAAACTAGGCAATCAGTTTTGTACAACTTGCTTAGAAGGAAAAATGTGTAGAAAACCATTCAATAATACTGGTACTAGAGCTTCTGAATTGCTCCAATTGATCCACTCCGACTTATGTGGTCCGATGGAGACGAGTTCTATTGGGGGTGCCAGATTTACGTTACATTCACAGATGATTACAGTAGGAAGGTTTCTGTCTATTTCATGAAAAATAATCTGAAACATTAGAAAATTTAAAGAATATAAGAATTTAGTTGAAAATGAAACTAATAAAAAGATTAAGATATTACGTTCAGACAATGGAAGAGAATATATAAATAAAGATTTTAAATTGTTTCTGTGTAAATTTGGTATCCAGCATCAAACTAGTAATCTACATACTCCTCAACAAAATGGCATGGCCGAGAGGATGAACCGCACATTAGTGGAGAGAGCTAAATGCCTAATTTTGAATTCCAGGTTACCTAAAATGTTTTGGGCTGAAGCAGTTTCAACAGCCGCTTATATTACTAACCGTTGCCCAACAAAAGCTTTGGATTACAAGACACCATATGAAATGTGGACAGGTAAAAAACCTAACCTAAAAAATGAAAATATTTGGCTGTCAAGCTATGGTTCATGTACCAAAGGAAAATCGACAAAAGTGGGATTCAAAATCAGTTAAAATGATATTTGTTGGCTATTGCGATTATACTAAAGGTTACAGATTTTATGATGAAGATAAAAAACGCATATTTAAGAGCAGAGATGTTGTCTTCTTGGAACACACAGTTAAAAACAATTGTGTCATTATGCCGCTTACTAACCTGCAGCAACAGGAAAGTACTGTTCAACATGAATGTGATACTGATACTTTAGTAAATGAAAGTTCAGAAGAGGAACAATTATTTGATGCCACCAGTGACTTATCAAACTTAGAATTTGAAAATGATCCAGATTACACACCGGAGAACTTTAAACAAGATACCATACCATTAAGAAAAATGAACCTCCGACCTAGGAATACTAAACCTAATACATATCTTTGTCAAGAAGAAAAACCAACTAATTCAGCAGTATTATTAAAGGAACCAGAGACTGTGGAAGAAGCTCTTTCAGGTCTGAATGCAAAAGAGTGGAAAGAAGCCATGGACAGTGAGTATGAATCACTCCTTCAGAATAATACTTGGACATTAGTAACTCTTCCTAAAGACAGAAGAATAATACCTTGCAAATGGGTTTATAAATTGAAAACTAATGCAGATGCTAAAGTCATAAGATACAAAGCAAGATTAGTTATTAAAGGTTTCAAACAGAAGAAAGGAACTGAATACAATGAGATCTTCGCTCCGGTAGTAAGACATACCTCTATTAGATATTTGTTTGCATTGGCTGTCAAAGAAAAGTTATACATAGATCAAATGGATGCAGTTACAGCATTTCTGCAAGGTGACATAGACACTGACATCTTCATGAGTCAACCACCAGGTTATGAACATGGTCAAGAAGTCTGCAAATTAAATAAATCTATCTACGGTTTAAAACAAGCAAGTCGTCAATGGAACTTGAAACTAACTTCTGTATTGAAACAGCTGGGATTAAAAAGCACATCTGTAGACCCATGTGTTTATTATAAAAATGAAGATGAAAGCATTATCATCATATTGATTTATGTGGATGATTTATTAATATTCTATAACAACATAGAGAAAGGTGAAGAAATAAAGCAACAACTTGGAAACAATTTTAATATGAAAATGCTTGGACCTGTGAATCATTTTATTGGTTGGAGAATAAATCAAAATGTAACCAGGGATCAAATTTATATTGATCAAACTAATTATATAGAGAAGATTCTACAAAGGTTCAATTTGACAGATTGTAATCCAGTTCATTCACCATGTGATATTAGTTTAAAATTGATTAGCACACAAGAGCACAATAATATTGCTTACAATATTCCTTATCAAGAAGCAATTGGAAGTTTACTTTATTTATCACAAGGTACAAGACCAGACATATGTTTTATAGTAAACAAATTGAGTAGCTTCAACAACAAACCTGAAGTACAACATTGGTCAGCAGTAAAAAGAGTACTACGGTATTTAAAAGGAACAAAGGATTGCAAATTAAAGTTCAGCCAAAATGCAGAAGAAACAGGAGTGTTTGGCTACTGTGACTCCGATTGGGCTTCGGATATTAACAGCCGGAGATCTTGCTCTGGCTACAGTTTTCTGTTTCAGGGTGCTGCTGTCTCATGGTGTTCTAAACGTCAAAACACTGTTGCATTATCCACCATGGAGGCAGAATATATGGCACTGGCTACTGCCACACAAGAAGCTATGTGGCTGCGGCATTTAGAGTCTGAGCTATATTGGAAGGCTACAATTGCACCTACCATAATTTATTGTGACAACCAAAGTGCAATTAAATTTACAGGTAATGACTCTTATTGTGCCCGCAGCAAACACATCGATATAAGGTATCATTTTGTTCGAGAAAGGGCTGCTGAAAAGGACATCGAGCTCCGCTATGTTGGCACTCAGGATATGGTCGCCGACGTGCTAACAAAACCAATTTCTCAGAAGAAAACTGAAGACTGTTCAGCTGCTATGGGTTTGCAATTAAGAAGAGGATGTTGTGATTAGTTTACTAATTACAAACCACAGATAACATAATGTAATGTGACGTTTTTGTATTAACTGTCAGTGTCACTCCGTTCACTTGTGTTGTCATGTTTTTTCTCTTGTACTTCCGCCCTGTTCCGTGAATATAGTTTTATCGCTCAGTCGTGCATTTTTATTTTAATAAAGTTTAGTTCTGGAATTACCTCTAATTATTCTATTGAACATTAACACATAATCTAGACACCATGTTAGCCATGCCATGCAAGTTGATTGAATAGAATAAATATCTCAACGACTGCCTCGTTGGCCGAGTGGTCGCAAGTGCGACTGCCGGGCAAGGGGTTTCGGGTTCGATTCCCGGGTCGGGTAAAGTACTGCCGGGTTTTAATAAAATTCTCAGTGGTAGCACGGAGTCTAGAATTGTGCAAGGATGACAATAGGCTCACCCCCTATTAAATGGGACTCATAACATAAATAGTGAAAAGTGGGTGTTACATTTTACAGTGGAATTAAGTGCCGTAATGTGCACCTCAGCCTACCTCTTCGGGGGTAAAAGGTGTGATGTTACGTTATGTTATATCCCAACGAAAGGTGGGGCAAATTAGATTAAAAAAAAAAGTTAACCCGAGAGTTATGTTTCGGCGGTCGGGATTTTGATTAAAAAAAGATTTATTTAATAATTACAATTACTTTTTATTATTATTATTACTTTAAAAAAACGTTGCCCCACACTAGGATTTTCTCCTGTATCATGGGTGCGTTTACAAACATACAAGTTCACATACACAATGACACCCAGACCCGAAACAACAATTTGTGGATCACACAAAGTGTTGTCCCGTGCGGGAATCGAACCCGCGACACGTTGCTCGGCAGCCGGTTGCCCAGCCACCGTACCAACCGTGCAGTCAAAATTTAACAATTTAATTATATTAATTAGTCAATACAGGATGTTATTTAGCTGGTGATCGCGATTAGACTAGCTATCTAATGTCATTATACAATGCAATTGTAAATTGAGTAAATGCTGAGTTGCATAAAGCCCTAGCTGCTATATCATCAAAAGGGTTCGAAATGGTGGGTTACGATGAGTTAACTCCTCCCTCCATAGGATAGAAGCAACTCTTGCTTCTGGCTGCGTCCTCGCTGCCCTTGGTGTCCTCCGGGATCTTCTTATTATTGGAGATTTTCCATTGGTACAGCTTCCAGGATGCTGCGGATATCAGTAGTATGTAGAGTACGATTGTGGTCCAGCTAGGTGATGCTGTGATAGTTGGCCAATCGTCATCTTCTGGCACGGAGATGTCGCCTGCTTTGTTTATAAGTTCGTGGATGCTATCCAGTGAGATGTCTTCTAACTGCAGCTCGTACTGTATAGATTGTTGCAAAACTTGATGCTGCTCCGGTAAAGGTATGACTTCATTAATGACGACAGTGTCCGTGTGAGACCGCAGAGTTTTGTTTAAGACGTTCATCTGGCAATCTTCTGTGAGAGTGATAAGATAGATTCCAGATAACTTTTTGTAGTCTGTTTTAGTATGACATAGAGTTTTGATAACTTCATCTTCTTTGAGAACAAGTAGCCAGTTGTTATCTCCAATCTTCTGAACTTTTCCTCTTCTTAAGTTCATCTTAGCGTGTGTACAGTTCGCTGGGCGATGTTGAATGAGAGACGGTATGCAGTCATCTGCATCTTCAATTCTTCTGGTGTCCAGGAGCTTGCACAGCTGGATATTGTCGGTAAGTGGCTGACAGGCTTCTTCCAGGTAAGCGTACTCATCGTTGCCAAGTGCAAGGTATTTGGACTTAGGAATAATAGTTAGGTTGTCTTTATTTGGGATAGAAAAGAGATGAATAAGGTCATAGGTTTCTTGGGCGACTGAAGGGATTTCAAGTATAAAATTGACAGAGTGTTCTGTACTGTAAGCTTTAACCTTAATCGACCGTTCTATCGTATACATATTACTAAGGCTAATACTAGCTACTGGTCTAAATTTAAACATACTCTCTAAGTTCCTTAGTTCTTCTATAAGATTCTGAGGACTTATAATACTAGGATGCATGGTGCCCATTTGAGCGAACGTCATGGCATCTTCTAACAACATTAATCTATCAAGAATGATCTGTAAACTAAAATCTATCTGTACGTAAATATCTAAGAAATGTAAGTGGTTAGCTACATCATTGGAATTACTAGTAATGTTTCTCAATAAATTTGCCAAATTTTTCTGGTTATTATTTAATTTATTTAACTGCTTACTAAACTCATCCATTGTATTATGAGCCAAAATTAAAGACTTTCTTTGCAAATCTTGAGTAGTTTTAACTTTGTTCCTTATGTTTGATATTTCTATCTCAAACTTAGCTGCATCTTCATGATCCAGATTTCCTGTTATAGACTTAACTACAGTACCTAATCCATCTATAAGACCGCGTCGCTTCCTAACTTGCGGCGTTAAAAACTTAATCTTTCTACCTATAATACTAAAACTATATTCTATTTGATTTCTGTACGTTTTATGTAACGTTCCAGACTCTGTACTTTCAGCTGCTTTTGTACTCGCATATAATGACATAAGTTCGATAGATGTTAAATGCAAATCACTTATGTTGTATACGCAAGCGAGACTAAAGTAGTTGTCCTGTTTAAGGAGTTGACCTTGTTGAGGAGAAGGATACCATTATCATTTCCTACAGGGTCAAGGGTTACGATTGCTGTTGCGTTGAGCACGAGGGCTCCGGCGATGAAGGTCCTGTAACAAGATGAGGCCTCCGTAGTAACTTAAAGTGAACTCTAATAGATTTAGAGTTGGGATGATTACCTATTATCTCAGCTATGTTGTTAGGGTGTAAGTGCAGAATCTTGTAAGGTCCTTTGAAGACGGGCTTGGTTTTATCTGCTCGAGCTGTCTTGGCTACCTGCTTATAAACAGTTTCACCTACCTTAAATCTTATTTCTTCTGCTTCTTGATTGCGCCTAGCAATTACCTGCTCCTTATTCTTAGACATGAGTGCTGTGATGCACTCTTGAACAGCCTCGGCATTAGCACGATGCTTAATAACATAATCCTGGTAAAACTCTTTTGGGTAATACAACTCTAATGGATTTCTAGATGCTGTATGTCCGAATAATAACTCGTGAGGTGTATAGTCAGTTGCTGAGTGAATAGCGTTATTATAAGCTATAATAGAATACTTCATTATTAACTGAATAGGATCATCTTTGTTAGTCATTCTTTGTATTCTAATTAGTTCAGCTAGTGTAGAGTGTAAGCGTTCGATAGGGGAATTAGAATTAGGGTTATGGGGTAGTAAAATGTATATGAATATTATGTAGTGCGCATATTTCCTTAATGACATCGTTATCAAACTTAGTATCGGAATCCGTAGTTATTTTATTTGGTAGACCTAACACTGAGAAGACATTTAGTAATGCTTCAGCTACGTGAACACTACTTGATGCTGTTAATGGGACTGCTTGAGCGTACTTGGAGAAATTATCAATAATTGTAAGGAATGTTGCTCCTCCTGTAGAATATAAGTCCATGAATATGTGTTCCATAGGTTTACGCGGGGTGTCAGTAATAGCTAATGGTGGTCTAAGAGGGTTGCGTTCATATTTGGACTTTAAGCATGTATCACATTGGTTTACGTATTTTTGGATAGTAAGAAGCATATTGGGCCAATGATAATTTCTGTGCAACTGCTTGTATGTCTCCTGAATACCGCGGTGAACTGTCTTTCCTTCATGGTATTTCTTAATTAGGTCTTGTTGTTCAGATTGGTTTTCGACTAAAGTCACGCGAGAAGTGCATTTGAATAATTTGGGACCTCTGTCATTAAATATTGTAGTGTAAACTCTCGAAAATACAGGGTATAAATCTTCATTATGAAAGTAACAATGGAATACGCGATCAGCTATAGTATGTTCTTTAAGGAATCTTACTATCTCTGACTCTGTATCATTGATTGGGATAAATACATCTTTTATAACTATTTTAGAATTAGTGGACCTGTTGTCTACTCTGTAAGTGGAACCGGGGGTTGATCGAATATGAAATTGTTTAAGTTGCCTATCAATAGCGTCCGTAGTTATGGGTATACCTCTGTTTTCGTTGTCAGGCTGGGTATGTCTTGTAGAGACTAACTCAGGTTCTGCTGACACTATACTCATACTATCTGATTCTGTGTCCATATGAGATGCGGGACTTGGGTCAGGTGGTTGAACATTTTCGTTAGGTACTATTTCCATTTGTTCATTTTCGGCTTCCCTACGTGCGTTTTCAAATATTCTATTTATGATTTCGTCATCATCGTTATCATCTAGATTAACCGCTAACGAATCCATACTACCGTGAAAGATTTTAACACGTGATAAAGCGTCTGCGTTGGTATTCTGACGACCTTTCTTGTATACAACATTATAGTCGTATTCCGCGAGCTTTAAACGCCATCTCGTTAGTTTAGAATTAGGATCCTTTAGTGACATTAACCAGGTAAGTGGTCTATGATCTGTATAGATTGTAAATTTTCTGCCGTAAAGATAAGGCCTAAAGTATTTAATTGCCCATATAATAGCGAGAAGCTCCTTTTCTATTGTAGAGTACCGGGATTCGGTATCGGAAAGTGTACGAGACGCAAAGGCGACTGGCTTATCAGAACCTACTACACCTTGTGATAGCACTGCACCTAGAGCTACATCGGATGCGTCAGTAGTTAGTATGAAGGGTTCATCGAAATTGGGGTATTGCAGTATCGGTGCGTTAGTTAAAATTTGTTTACACTTATGAAAAGCTTCTAAGAAGTCAGGGGAATGTATTACTTTACTGTTTTTCTTAAGGCAAAGGGTCATTGGTTTGGTAAGTTTGGCAAAGTCCTTGATGAACTTTCGGTAATAGCCAACTAAACCTAAGAAAGCTTTGATTTCTTTCTGAGTTTTTGGTAGCGGGAAATTTAATACGGCTTTTATCTTATCTTTGTTTGGTTTTAAGCCTTCATCTGTTAGTTCATGACCTAGAAAATTAACATGTTTTTGTAAGAACTGTGATTTATCTAGTTGAATCTTTAGGTTATGTGTTTTGAATCGGTCAAATACTTGTTTAAGTTTTTCTACGTGTTGTTGCAATGAGGTGGATATTATTATTACGTCATCTAAGTACGTATAAACATTATCGATGCCTCTTAGAATGTGATCCATCAATCTTTGGAATGTACTGGGTGCATTTTTAAGTCCAAGGGCATTCTAAGGAACTCGTAATGACCTCGTTCAGTAGTAAACGCAGTTTTTTCGATATCATTGGGGTGCATTTCAACCTGATGATATCCACTAGCGAGATCAAGGGTGGTAAAATACTGAGCACGCCCTAATCTATCTAATATATCATGTATATTGGGTAAGGGGTACTTGTCTTCAATAATTCGATCGTTAAGACGACGATAATCTATAACA